GGCCACCCGTTAGATATACGAATAAACACAATTGCAATGAGAGACTAGACTGTCATGCAAACGAAACTCAACTGGAAAAGGCGACTGACTTCACATGCTCTGAATATATTAATACATAATTCCATATGCTACAATTATCAACAATAAAATATGTCCTATTTCTATCCGTATTCTTAATTTAATCAGTTTCTTTGTTTTATTTAAAAAATAATTAAAAAATATTGGACATTCTAAAAGTTAACATTGAATATTTCTATAAAGGTTTTTTATTTCGCAACTTATAGAATAAAATAAAAATAATAATTACTGTACAGACGATATATCATTGGATGCAACTTGTTAGTTAATTTGAGAATTTTTTTGAATTGAATTTTTAAATAAATTGGTTAGAGAAAAAATAAAAATAAATATTTTCTATTTTTTTCTTATTGAAATAGAGCTTCGTGTTCATTTTCTTTTAGTATACTTTCGGCACATTACTAATGATAAATATAGATGAAAAATTATTTCTTGTATTCTTTTTTTTGTCTATCTATTGATTAATATTGTCTGTCTTATTTCATCGATATAAGCCATGTAAAAGTTTTCTTTAGGCATCTGAGATTTCCTTGTGAATAAATTTAAATTACACAAGACGGTAATTAAAGTATATTTGCATTTACCATCTAAGATATGAATGATTGCGTTAAGATTAAATAATGTATCCCCGTATGAAGAAATATGTAAGTTGTTAATTATCCTTTTCCGTACATTTACATCTCGTGAATGCTATCAAATTTTGAAAAACGGATTTCAGTTGTACACTCAACATATTTTCACAATCTCAGAGTTTTTTTTCCGATTCGAAATTATGCTCAGATGCTTAGAAAAAGTGACAGACTTGAATCGTGACTCATGCGATGAGTGAAAGAAGAAGAAAGAAAAATTTGCTATGACAACTGAACGACTGAAAAGCAATAAGTGAGCAGTTGCACTTTGTGTAGTCAGCTACCTTAAAAGAAAGAGATTCTTTTTTTTTATGTAAGCACATTGCTTTGATCAGAGGTAACTCTACGCAAACATTTGAGTGCACAAATATGGTAGAATGTTAATAAGTCGAAAAAAAGAGGTTATTATTTAGATGAAGTTCTATTCGTGAAATTCAACAAAATTTCATCACATAGAAAAAGCATGCATTTATATTAGATGTTAAGCGAAAAATGGAATATACCAAGAGTTAACATAATACGGTCAGAAAATAGATATGCTATCAAAAGTAAACAAGAAAACTAGTAAGCGAAAAAACAAAGAGAGAAAAATAAGAAAAATTCCTGACAGAAAAAAAATAAAGAAAAAATGCAAACACGTGGACAATATCCTTAACACATATTTGTCTTATGGTATGTCTTAACTATGCTCCATACCAGTCGTCTTATTCAATGAAATCGTTCGAAATGTTTAGATTCTGCTAAGAAAAACGAAAGATGATGTAATACATAATTAAGGCAAAAAATGCCAGCTTTTTGTTCCTCATCATTGATTATTTTCAGAAACACAACATATATTGACTAATAAAATCAATACTACTGAATCAGTATTATTCGTCTTTGCCAGCACGACGTCAACTGGCAAAGAATGAGTCATTCTTACAAACGTATGTTTCCCTCTCTTGAAACAAGCAGAATTGAAATGAAAGAACGAGATAAAAAAAAAAAGCTGACAGTTGTACATAAAGGTAACAAAGTTGAAATACAATTCATTATCTATTGAAATTTTGTAATAAGTAGTTCATTTCTGACAATTATCAATGTTACAAAACTTAGTCAACAAGACTGATATTACAAAACAAGGTTCGATATCTTGTCTCATCGAATCATATCAAATGTAAGTTTTTATGGAGTAACTGTCTGTAAAAGTAAGTTAATACTCTTTAAAAAAGTTTCATTGATGATTAAGCATAGTAAATGGTTGCTCATTAAAAAATTATTTCATAAGAAAATCATAAATCAAATTATATATTGACAGGAACACTTTTTGGAAAATCTTCTGAAGTTTTAAATGAGAGAAGAGACTTTTAAAGAGAAACTAATGCAAACGTTATGATTATTGCTGAAGTATTTAATTGCGTAGAACCAACTACAAAACATATTGAAATTATTTTCACATAAATAGATCAAACGAGAATGGGGCAAAATTCGAACAATCATGTGCCATATGTATGGAATTAAAGCCATTCGAAGGCTTTGAAACACACTACAGCAGTGACTGTATACATCCAAATCGAACTATATGTGATAGTTGTATGTATGAATATGTGCGTCATAATTGGAACATTGACTCCGATATTCATTGTCCGGAATGTTCTATCCCTTTGTCACATATTACCATCAAACTGATTGTCCTCAAGCACGATGATATTGCGCTCTACGAACGTTATACACAATTCGAGCTTAACAGAACTCTTGAGCTAAATCCTGAATTTGTGTGGTGTGCACATGGTTGTGGTTCAGGTCAATTGAACGAAGGTGCAACAATGAATAACACAATTCAATGTGTTAATTGTCATCTATTAACTTGTTTCACTCATAAATGTCCATGGCATGATGGAATGACATGTGAAGAGTACGATATGCCTCGAACTGATGGACAATTACATGCTAATCAACGCTGGATCAGTGTGAACACCAAAAAATGTCCTAGATGTTACTCTCACATTGAGAAAAATGAAGGTTGTGATCATATGACTTGTTTTAAATGCAAGCACGAATTCTGCTGGGAATGTTTTGCTTCTTATTCAGGTATCAAAAGGCATGGTGCTTACTTACATAATCGTATATGTAAACACTATCCTACTACGGAAACGCGAAGTATATTGAAGCGTATAATTGATCTCTTCTAGAACTCGTTGTTCGTTTTTTTATTTCATTCGGACACTTTGAATGAATCGAAAATGAATAAATTTTATTCATGCTAATTTTCCTAATTCAATATAACAGATACTTCAATGCGAAAAATAATACAAATCGTTGTGTGTTGGCAATATGCAAAGATCAACTAGAACAAGTGTGTCTTTGTAGAAGTAGTTGAAATTATTTAAAAGTGAATGGTGTAAGAAAGCTTTAAAATAGCTCATTGAATCTATTGAAAGAAGATTCACTAAATTGTTTTTTTTGCAAAAAATAAAATTTCTCTACTTTAGTCACGTCATATTATTTTTTTTTCAATATTTTCTTTTCAATCGTTAATTTTGTATCATTTTCCCGTCTCTTTTATGACTTATTTTAGAAAAAAAATTAAACATTCTTGAAAAACAATAGAATACACTTCATTTAATTTCCTTTCATCAGGATACACGTGATCATAGTGATTTGATATATTTTGTTTTGTCTGTCATACTATTATTAATTAAGCAAAATTTCATCATACTTATGTTTTGACAAGATACTGTTGATCTTCTTTAATGTTTCTTTCAAGAATGTTCTTCTATTATGATTTATCGCTTATAAATACATCTACAATAAAAAAAAATGTATGAAATGGATAAACGCTGCTATTCTCACAGATGTATTCCTTGTCAATTATAATTTATATATAATAATATAATGAGTTCATTAGTGCTATTCTCGACAGTGCGTGATTCGTGATTCAATAGACTTTAGGTTTGTTGAAGTTTTAACACCTAGTCGTATTGACTATCAAAGTTCATATATTAAGAAATTTTCGCATGATTTTCGAAGCAATATAATGGCTTGCGTCCGTCGTGCATGTTTCCAAGTAACGAAGGAACGCCTAAAACTGTCGGACACCAATTGAATTCATAGTTTGTTCATATATATAATTCCGAAAGACTAGTGGAAATCTGACAAAAGATTCACGTCCATACTCTGTTCCCTTGGAGTTATGATTGTTTTACTAAATTTTTAACTGCAAGCAAGTTCCCTGGTAAAAGATCGAATTACACAGATTTTCATATTAAAATATCGACCGATCAAGAAACTTGCATGTCTTATCGTCAGAGTTTAAAACAGGAACTTTTTTGATTTCTCAATATCTGGATATGGAATCTTCTTTTTTAAGTAAAACTTCCAGTGAAACCTACGTTATTCGATCTTTTACCAGGTAGCTTGCCTGAAGTTAAAAATTCAGTAAAATAGTCATAACTTCTAGGCGATCAGGTATGGGTGTGGTTCATTTTGGACTTTTACTATTCTATCCAAGTCATACATATAGATAAATTTTCGAGTGTCGATTGGCACCCAGCAGTTGCAGACGTACTCTCGTAAGAAATTTAAAAGAATTTACAAACCAAACTAAATCATTTCATAGAAAATCGTCAGTCGATGCAATACTTATGTACCCTACTTAATCATTATATATATATTAAGATCCAAAAGAATACACTTTGATTAGATTCTACCTTCAAATGGGTTGCACGACATATTTTCAATGACGATCAATATTTAATATTCAATAAATTTCTTCGACTTTTATAGACAATAGCGAGCCTATTTTCATTGGTTCTCAAGCCATAAAAATGAATCAATAATACTTGAATATTAGTTTAATAATTGTTTCAATACATGCGACATTATGAAAGATGAATGCTTGAAAAAGGCACCATATGGATACAAGCGAATTGTAATTTCATATTTTCACTGTTATAAATATTCCTCCAATGACTTCAAAGAAAATGCCCTACTTAATAGAAAAAAAGTACCAAAACAATGTAATATTATAGTCTACTGATGCAAACAGATTGAATCTATTCATTAATTTTCAATAAACTTTTTTGCGTATATATTGTTTTTAATATTGTCAGCATTATTGAATCCACTTCAATTACCATCTGTGTCCATACTCCACTCATTTTCTCATATATTCTATCTTATTAATTTTGCCATATAAAAGCAAATATCAATATCAAGATATCATAGAGAGTTGAGTCTTTCGATTTTAATCGCGTCGTAGACTCTTTTTTTGTGCTTACATATTCAACACTTTCAAGTTTACTAATCCAATTCATGGCGACAAAGCGTTCGCCAATATACGTATCCTTACTTCTCTTTTTCGTAACGGTTGTTGAGTAAGTTTTAAGCTTCCAAGAAAAGCAATATTTTAATTAATGTAACTACAAAAATTTTAGTTCTCAAACTTCGTCGACATCATCAACGAAACATATTTGTTCATCAATAGAATCGGTTACGAAAAATGATGAATGTCCTAAACCTTCCACATTTAGTATTATTACGGAATATAACAAAAATGATACAACATGGAAACTTGATTTTAAAGTATATACCTTTTTATTTTTTCTACTTAATTTATACATTTAAAAAAACATAGGTTTTTCAACAAGCATCAATAACAAATTCAATGGATCTTCTTGATGAAATTCAACGAAGATGGACCAATTTTGTTCCTTGTCCATTTACGCGGTAATTATTTATTTTAAAATTTCTTCTTAATCAAGTTGTGTGAAACGCGATCTAAAAGAAGTATTGAATTATAGTTGTAAAAATTTGGTTCCTCCTATCACCTCACTGATAGTGGTAGACACTAGGCAGTACAGGCGCTATATTACTATCACTTTTTATTACTGTTACTCGGGAATTGGTAATAATTAGTATTACTTGTATTACTTATTACTGTGTATCAGCATTAGATTTATTTGTACTACTTTGATAATACTATAGCTTTGATTCTTTTTATTAACGAAATATGAAGTAGTTTTTATTACTTTATTACTAATTACTATCGGTTAGTAATAAAGGAATAAATAAGAACTAGTAATGAGTTATTACTGTAACAGAAAAATAGCAAAACCACAAATAAAATCTAAGTGTGGGTGTGAAAATGGATATGAAACTTGAGTTCACTTTCACCTATAATCAAACAGAAAGGAGAAGAAAAACACCAATATGGAAAACTGTTGTGATGCGAATGGTTTATTTTAAGAATACTTCTCCTCTTTTTTTGACCATTTCTGGTTCTCGAGCAGGGTACAACTGTTCCGCATGAAATTTTTACCATAAGTAGAGTACCTAAAATAAGGAGACCAGTGTTTGAAGAAAAAAAGGTTTAAACAAAGTTTTTGCCGTTTTTCTGAGAAACTGCGGCTTTCCATAAGACTACGCTGGTCCTGCTTACGATATCCGTCTAGCTTTGTCCTATTAAGCTAAATTTTGTTTTTGAGATACCTTAGACTGTATCTCTGAAGTGATTTTAAGCTTTTTCAAAAATTGCACTTTCTTTTTTTTATTTAAAAAAACGTAAAAGTTCGAATGCAACACCGGAGTATTGGTAGTCAGAGTTCTATACATTCAAACAGGAAGGTTAAAGACCAAAAATGACCGATTCTACCTCCAGAGATTACTTCCAAGTATCTGTCATCCACATATCAGCCCGTTCAGACAAAGCTAGAGGAGGAAAGATCGTAAGCAACCCCGATGTGGTCCTATAAAAAACTAGCGTTTCTTAAAAATATGCAAAAACCTTGTGTAAAAAGATTTTCCACAAAAAGGTGTCTCCTTATGTTAGGTGCTCTATTTGTGGTAGGAATCTCATGTGGCTCTGTGTTGCTCTCTTCTAAAATCGAAACTGAACCAAAAGTGAAAGAGTTCCCTTGATAAGCTCTTAGGAGCATACCAGAGATGAAATCGGGGCGAGGTCCGGGAGCAGGGACCATTTTTCTAGGGGCGAGATGGGGGAAGTTAGGACGGGGCGAGTCGAGACGGAATTAAGTTAAAATCTCCGACCTTTNCTGTGTTGCTCTCTTCTAAAATCGAAACTGAACCAAAAGTGAAAGAGTTCCCTTGATAAGCTCTTAGGAGCATACCAGAGATGAAATCGGGGCGAGGTTAGTGGCGGCGCCAGGGGTGGGCCAGGGTGGGCTCAGCCCATCCTGATTTACATCGAGCCCACCCTGAGAGATTTTGAAAGCTATGTAAAAAGAACACTTTGTGTAGGTTAGGGTGGGCTAAATCCATGATGAGCCCACCCTGAACTGAAATCCTGGCGCCGCTACTAGGCGAGGTCCGGGAGCAGGGACCATTTTTCTAGGGGCGAGATGGGGGAAGTTAGGACGGGGCGAGTCGAGACGGAATTAAGTTAAAATCTCCGACCTTTCCTCGTGATAGTTCCACAACATAAATATCGATACATAGACTATGTATTTGAATAATGTATGCATAAAGACTTATGATAATAGTATGTGTGCAATAGATTATCTACTCAACGCTTCGTATAAATATAAAAGTTTTCCGTTAAATATGAATAGTCTTTACTGAATTCTATTTTTATCGTGGAAGATAAATGGTAAAGACTGCAACACAGAAAAGCAGCGTCTAATGATAGACTGCTTTTGCAAATTACACTCGACCCGAAGGTTTACTTCAGATGCTAAAGTAGAATTTTATGTAGAATTTATTTATACATTCTTTTGTTCAATAAACATTTTCCATCTCTGTGTACTATCAAAATTGTTGCGTGCCACGAAAACATCAAATACTCAGTATTTCGCTTGAATTAAGAACCGTTTTTATTTGTTAAATAGCTTTATATACGCTATTAAAACACACTAAGAAAAGAAGAGAAGTGTACTTATTTCATAGGCATCAAACCGAACTTTTGCATAAAGCTTTACTATCTAAAAGCGACATATACAGTATGTCTATACCTATTGGGTTGAGGATGTATTTAAGATATTCTGCAGTTTTTTAATAAGAGACAAAATTAGAATGTTCAACTAGGCACACCATTTGATGCACTAAAAAAGTTCGCATGCCTTATGTGAAGAAAACTAAAATTTGAGATCAATCTAATGTGGTAAAATTTGATTCTTAACCTTCATGATTTTGTTGATGAGCAGTTGGCGTTTTTCTAGTATTCAGTGACTTTGGTGTTTCGAAAAACAATCTAACGATGATTTAAAAGAGAATGTTTCCTTTAAATCGACAGAAAATTCTCTATCTTTTAACATTGGCACAGAACCATTTGGTTGAGTTTAAATTGACAAAAACAGTCTGTTGGAAGCCTGAAATATCCCTTGTTGCACCCTTAACTAGCGTTCATGTGTTCATGTAAAAGTGAAACGACTACTGTCAGTAATAAAAACTCAAAAAGCAAGATGCTATTGAGCTTGCAGTGCATGTCTATCGAAAGTGACTTCGGCTGCAACAGTTGATATTGAACAGGGTTCAACAAAAGAGTTTCTTGAACACTTAATGGATTAAGAACTGACAAAAAGAAAATCTACACTAATAACAAAAGATGAAGTCGATATTCATATCGATTTCAAATGAAGCAAAGACTGTCCAAATTCGTTCTTATTCTGAGATGAGTTGGAAAATATTTTTCCAGATTTCTTCATATTGGCATGTCACATGTATATAATGCCACACAATTCAGCTGCTGTCAACAGAGAGTCTTTGGTAACAGATGAAGTTATCAACCGAAGATCTAATTTACAACTCACAAGTGTGAGTAGTATTTTATTTCATCGTTCAGTAGAGAATAACAAAATTAAAGGATGACTGAGGACGAATTATATTCTTTTGTTGTCATTTAGGAAAAGAAACTGGACGGGAAATCGGGCGAGGCCCTGAGGCGAGATTAATTGCGTCGGGACGAGACCAGGTGGTGAGAGCTTTGCACGAAGCGAAGCGGGGCGTAGGGGCGAAAAAAAAATTAAGGTCAGGGTGAGGCGAAGCGGGGAAACCGTTTTTTCAGGCGGAACGAGGCGGAGAGCAAAAATTCTTCCACGTTTCCAGCTCTGGAGCATACTGATGAATTGTATGAAATCGAAAAGACCCTATGGAATCTAAGGAAGTTCTAGAAAGGTAAGGAATTTCTGAACTTCAGAATTCCGCTATACGCCTCTTAATATTTCTTCTATCAATAATGCATAAATATTGCGTTTAACCTATGTTGGAAGAATGAAATATAATATATTCATAATGTCTTAGTGTGGAAGCAGAAATCTAATCGATGATTAAAAGTATTTCTACTATCTTATTTGTGTATTAATATATTACTTTTATTACTTCCAAAAATGATTACTAACTGCCTGTAATAAGAAATAACAATATTAGTTATTACTTATTACCAGTAATGATACTGTAGCACTCCTACTTGTCGGGAATCTTCATAGATGGTGACAGACATTATTGATATACGATCAGAGGTTGTATTACAATAACGTCTTGTTACAGTATATGAACAACTTCCTCATTGCATTTGTGCAGGATTAAGTAAAAGGATGTTGAAGAAATGTGTCCCAAAATAGATAGAATAAAACAATTTGTTTGTGATTAGCAACAGCAGCTACAACTTATTTCGCATTTTAATCTCGCAAGAATTGTGTTTATATTTTTTTTTCTATAGACAAATGAATATTACCAAATGTTGTCCCAACTGGACAGGAAGCAATTGTGATCAAGGTTAGTTTCAACATTAGTAAATTTTTTATGATCATTTTCTTCTAATTATATGTAGTCGCTTCTTCAAATGATACATTTATTATAAATGATAATGAACCACTTCCATTTGCTACTTGTGTACTTTGGGGTTTATTTCATTATCGAACATTCGATGGTACACAATTTGAATTTATTGGTTCATGTAATTATAAACTTGGTGGTACACAAACATGGCAAGTTAATGTTCGACCAACAGGTTGTACGAATTGGCAAAAATGTTCGAAACAATTATCAATGTTATTTGGATCAGTTAATGTAACTGCAGAAGGAAGTAATGTTATTGTTAATGGTGTTACATTAAATCCAACTGAAGGTACCATTGTTAGCGGTGTAACCATTGAACGACGTGGAAATTATACATATTTAACGTATTCTGATGGCGTCAGAATCAAATGGGATGAAGCGACAGTTATTGATTTAACAATTGATGCTAGCTTTAAAGGAAGAGTTAGTGGTTTATGTGGAGATTATGATGGAGATTCTAAAAGTTGGAACTTTTAATAAAGTCCTTTTTTTTCTTTTTATGAGTTTATTTTTTATGTATTTAGATGATCTTACTCTTTTTGATGGAAACATATCTCCAAGTGCGGCTGTATTTGGAAACCAGTGGCGTTTAGATAAAAGTGTAAGTAACTTTTGATAATTCATCATTTGATTATCGTGCTTTTTTCCTTACTTTGATTTTAGTGTTCAGAAGTTCCATCATTAGGTGAAGCATGTTCAGATGATGATATACAACAACAAGCAATAGCTGCTTGCCAAATACTTATTGATAGTTCTGATGTATTTGGAGCATGCTTACAAGTCGTAAGTAAAATTTTATCTTTCGAAAAAAAGAACAAGAAGTTCTATTTGTCAAAACAAAAGGTCAATGGGCAACAATATTATAATACTTGTATCACTGACTATTGTATTACAGCAGCTTCTTATCCACAACAATTACAACAAGCAATGTGCAATTCCTATACGGCATTAGCTCGTGATTGTACTGATAATTATATTGATGTATATTGGCGTACAGCATCTCGATGTCGTATGTATTAACATTTTTCTTTTGTAAAATACGATCAATATGAGTGTTAAAGTATAGAGGTAGAAATTTGGACTCACGTCTCCTTGTGGTGACCGAAGTAGTCAATTTTGAGAGGGTATCACGACTTTTTTCACAGGAAGAATATCTTTCTTCTAACAGAATGCAAAAAAGAGAATTTCAGCTCTGCTGGGAAAAAAAATTAGAACTTTTCACGATTTGGGAGGAGGGGGCGTAGAATGTATTACACTGTCGAAATCCCTGCCCCAATCGACCTATCGTTGCTCTCCCTACGCCTACAGACTGTGACAGGTCCTGGCTAGAGACCATCGCAAATTGTGACAGACGCTGTTGAAATACGATCAAAGACGGTATATTAATAACGTCTTGTTCTAATATATGAATTACTTCCTTATTGTATTTCTGGTGAATGAAGTAAAAGGATGGTGAAGAAATGTGTCCCAAATAAAGAAAGTAAAACAATCTTCTTGCAATTAGCAACAGCAGCTACGTAGTTTCTCACACTTTAACTCCGTAGGAATTGCGCAAAGTTTTCGTTTTAAATTAATTTTATTTATTTTTTTCCTTAAGCTAAAACATGTCCAAGTAATATGACCTATGTTGAATGTGCATCAAATTGTCCGAAGACTTGTCAAAGTTTAAGTCAAACAATATCTGAATCAGATACATGTATGAGTGATTGTTCACCGGGCTGTATTTGTCCGATGGGGACTGTTTTGGATTTGGGACAAAATCAACAATGTGTTGAACCTGATCAATGTACATGCTATTATAGAGGAAATTATTATCAACCAGGAGATAATATTAATATTGATTGTAATCAATGGTAAGACATAATTAACAAATTAAAAGCAAAGATTTATCTGAATTGAGCTTAAAAATGAAATATAATTGGAATTAAAAATAACTAATGAGGGAACGGTTTCAACGGATCGATCGGTATTGTACATAAAGCTACTGGATTGTTGGTGATCGACTATGCTCATTTGGAGAATGAACACGATAGATCCATTTAGATCTTCATATAAATTTTGGCTGAAATTTTGTTATTCAGAAAAAACGGTTTCCCGAAAAACCACAAGGAGGGAAAAGCGAAAATTCTGTACTTCACCGTATTTTAAGAGTATGTCAAAGTTATCATCTAGAACTTCTTAGCTATTTCAAGTCTATTATTAACGTGTGTCGCGAGCATATTAGTTGAAGTGTCATTTCATATAAATCTGTCTGCCAATAAGTCCAAATACTTCATCTTACTCCAAGATTTGAGTATTAGTGAAGTACGATGAAGTATTCAGCTTATATTGATACATAGACTGATACAAAATGAACTCTAATTGATCTGCTCGTGACCTACATCGATTGTAGACTTGAAATAGCTAAGAAATCCTAAAGGGTAGCTTTGACAAATTCTTGGAGTACGGTGAATTAAGGAATTTTCGTCTCTTTTCCCTTGGGCAATTCAGCATATGGAGATCTGAGGATATTTCTCATACTCATGTTTGGAATTAGCATGATTGATAAGCAAAGACTCAGTAGTATTCGTTAGAAAAGTGATTGATCAACTCAAATGTTTCCCTAATAATATAAGAATTAAAGACTAGATTCGATTTTTTATTTGATATCAATCAAAATAAAATAAGAAATTTGCTGATTAAAATAAAGTTTCTCTTTAAAGTCTTAATGTGGAATTATTTATAAATACTTATTTCAATCTAGACATTTATTCTGATACAATATCGACTAAAAATCATCTTGGTTTCTTTCATAAGATATTGCACTCTTGGTGTTCTTACATCGAGGGTGTCCCAAAAGTCCGTGCGAAAAGTAAATTTGTACACCTCCACTATTTATCAAGGTTAATCAGCTATTTTTTTTCAAAACGATAGGCATCACTGTAACGTTTTTGTTGATACGGGTACACTTCATAAATACTGTTTAAAGTTATTATTTTCAACTGAAATACAAAAAGCAGTAGCTTTTCGACTTTCAAAAAAATCACTACGCAATGTTTCTCTTTCAATGCTTTAGTTTTTGGCATTTTTGTGGCATTTAGATTGACCAAACTGCACTAACGATTACATACATTTATTTTTATATTTCACTATAAGAAAAAGCCTAATGGTGTAGAGTTCGGTGATCACAAAACTCATACAATTGCTTTAGATTTCAGAACAATGACTGATAAACTGAAAGAAGTGAATCGATATTATGAGCTTCTTGATCACTGAATTTGACACTAGTAGGGTTCTTTTTGTAGAGACATGCCAAAGCAAATACATAGAAACGATAGCACAAGATCTGACTAATGTGAACTTCACAAGGAACGCAAAAAATTGAATCATTAAAAGAGAAACACTGAGTAGTGAAATTTTTGAAAATCAAAAAAGGGTTGCTTTTCGCATTTCAGTCGAAAATAATAACTTTGAATAGTATTTGGTAAGTTTGCCTGCATATTAAAAAAAACTACACAGTAGTATCTATCATATAAAAAAAATTAGTTGATTTTGTTTGATAAATGATGGAGTTAATCGAATTTACTTTCCTCAAGAGCTTTTGGAATGTCCTGTAGTTATGTTTTGATGAGGTTTGATAAGTCATGAATCACTTCCTTTTCATGCTTTATCAAGAATTCCTTTTTCGAAGGCATAGTTTAGAGCTGCGAGATGACAAATCAAATGTTTAAAGATATACCATCTGTGCGATTCTCTCGTTATGTAAAGTACTGCTTCATTCATTATCCAATAGATGTCCTCTATTGACTTCCATTTTGTTTGGTCTTCGATTGTTGATGTTTAGAAAAAGATGACTGCTTGAGTTTAACTTTAAATTTTTAGTACTTGTTCATCTGGTACATGGCAATGTTCAAAATTTGCTTGTCCTAGAACATGTACTGTCATGGGTAATGGACATATTGATACATATGATGGAAAAACGTATAGTTTAATTGGTTCTTGTCAATATACATTACTTGAAGTATGATTATATGTTTTTCAATGTAATAATTTATCTTTTAATAATTTATTTAGGGTACAAATTCTGACTCATCAAGTAAACTTCGTGTTATGTATACAAATACGAGAAATATTCATATGAATGAATTAGTTATTGTACACTATGGAAATATAGTAAATATTAAAGGTTCACAAATAGTTGTCAATGGACAACCAGGAGTACAATTACCACACAAAATTAATGATTTATTAATTCGACAAGCAACATCAGTTTTACTTAGTGTTGAAGGTAATATTTAATAAATAAAAAATGAAATAAATTATTTTTAATCTGTGGTTTGTTTTTTAATCTTTCCAAGGAACTGATTTTTCAATTTATTTTGATGGTTTTCGCGTCTATATTACTTTGGGACCATCATTTTTAAATCAAACTCGTGGTTTATGCGGTACATTCAACTATATAACACGAGATGATTATCAAACTCCCAATGGGCTTATTGAAACAAATTTAATTGGTTTTGCTGATGCTTATAAAATGTCTCAAACATGTAATACACCATTACAAACAACATCTTGTAGTCTTTTTCCAGCTGTAAGTTAAATAAAAAACAACTTGAGATTGAAAAAGAACAAACAAATAATAATTTTTTTTTGTTTTTAGAATGAATTAGCTGCTCGAACAACATGTCAAAATCTATTAAAAGATCCTGTATTTGCTCCATGTATGTCTGTTTTGGATCCATCATTTTATATTGAATCATGTACAGCTGATCTTTGTGATGATATTTCCAGTGATTATATTTCGACATATACATGTTATCATTTAGCAACATATGCACATAAATGTGCTGATCGTGGTATTATAATTGATTGGATGAGTAAAACAAGTATATCAAATGCTTGTCAAATGGCACCATATCCTTATGGTCAATGTTCATCATCAGATGATGTATCATCTTCAACAAGTTATTCGGAATGTGTGTCCGCTTGTGATTATTCATGTACAGATCTTGATCAAAATTCTTCATTAAATTGTGAAAATCAATGTTTACCTGGATGTGCATGCCCAACGGATACATTTTATGATGTTAAATCTCGTTCATGTATTCGTGCTGAACAATGTCCATGTTACGATATATCAACAAAATCATACATTCAACCAGGACAAACTATACTTCGAACATGTACAAATTGTACATGTTTAAATGGAGCATTTCAATGTGACAATCCAGATTGTCTTTCAACAATGACTTGCCCAGGAAATCAAATTTATTCGAATAATGCAAGTACATGTCCAAAGACATGTGATAGTATTGTTAGTTCTTCTGATTGTAATACATATAAACAAGGTTGTACATGTCCATCAGGACAAGTATTGACACATGATGGTATTACTTGTGTACCAGTGAATGAATGTCCATGTCGTTATAATCAACGTTCATATGCAACAGATGAACAAATTCGTCAATCTTGTAATAATTGTACATGTTCAGGTGGCATATGGTCATGTACAACAATGCAATGTGATGGTACATGTATTGCAACAGGTGATCCACATTATATAACATTTGATGGGATGCGTTATTCATATCAAGGAAATTGTCAATATTATTTAGCTAAAGAAAAAAATAATGCATTTAGCATTTTAGCTGAGAATGTTCCATGTGGCTCAACAGGTGTAACATGTACGAAAAATATAATTATTGATTATCTTGGTTCAACTATTGATTTACAACGTGGACGTAATGTTATTTTGAATGGTATTGAAATTGAAAATTATGAATCAGTACCAAAAATTTATGGACAAGTATCCATATTTAAAAGTGGAGTTTTTACAATGATATCTACACCAGATTTTTTAATTAAATGGGATGAAGCAACAAGAATTTATTTAACAGTTTATTCAAAACATCGAGGAAATATGGAAGGTTTATGTGGTAATTATAATGATGATAATGCTGATGATATAAAAACGGCACAAGGAATTACTGGCTCAATAACTGAGTACGAAGAAAAAAATGAATACTAAACTTTAAATAAAAATTTTTAACAAAAAAATAATCTTTTATTCTAGAATGGCTAATTCATGGAAAACAGCACCAACATGTGGCAGTTTACAAGAATCACTTGTCGATAATAGTGATCCATGTTTCGGTCATGAACAACGACGTGACTGGGCAACAACAGAATGTTCATTAATTCGTGGAAAATCAATTGATAATCCATTTAATCCTTGTATTGAATTAATCGATTCTACACAACTTGATATATATTATAAAGAATGTTTATTTGATGCATGCAAGTAAGAATATTACGAATGATATTTGTTTTTGGTTTTTGTTTATATATTTATGTATAAATTAATGCTTTTAGCTGTGATCGTGGTGGTGATTGCGAATGTTTATGCACATCTTTAGCTTCATTTGCTGAAAAATGTAACTCAATTGGTGTACCTGTTAAATGGCGTCGACCGAATCGATGTCCAATGCAATGTGATAATAATAAAGTTTATATGGCATGTGGACCTATTTGTCCTGAAACATGTTCAGGAAAAGATTATTTTGGTTGTGAATTATCTGGTTGTGTTGAAGGTTGTTTTTGCCCAAATGGTCTTTTAATGGATGAAACTGGTACATGTGTACCTGTATCGTCATGTACGTGTGCTTATGATAATAAGTATTATCCAAGTGATTCCACTATTGTTCGTGGTTGTGAAATATGTTCCTGTACCAACGGTTCATTTGTTTGTTCACAATTAACAACGAAAGAATGTCAACAAGATTGTTCATCAATTAATGAATTTCAATGTTCAACTAGTAAAGAATGTATACCAAAAACATGGAAATGTGATAAAGTACCTGATTGTGCAGATAAAAGTGATGAAGACAATTGTGTTTATGAGTGTTCGAAACAAACAAGTTTTACTTGTCTTACTGGACAATGTGTTGATATAACTTATGTTTGTGATGGTTTACCGAATTGTCGAGATGGCTCAGATGAAGTTAATTGCAGTAAGTGAATATCGAGGAGGAAACAGTAGAGTCTTTAGTCAAGAAATCTCACAAAGTTCTCTGAAGTTATATGAAGCCTATCGAAGTCCCGCAAAGGCTTTGAGCTATAGTTTTTGGAAAACATGATCTAGGAAGAATGTTGAAATGTAGGGTAAAAATTGAGATCCAAAGACTTTCTTTCCACTCCCCCAACAGTCATGATAGACATATGAGGAACGGCTGATAACAGACGTGACAGATATCCTTAGCAACATTTCTCCTTCATCACAGGTCGTACCAGACGTTGTTGATATACGATTACAGATCGTCTATCAATAACATCTCGTTCTAATAGATGAAATACTTTCTTAATTGCATTTATGAAGGATAAAGTAAAAAAACGGTGAAGAAATGTGTTTCAAAATATAGGGAATAAAACAATCTCCTTGTGATTAGCAACAGCAGGTACATTGTTTCTCATATTTTAATCCCACAGGGATTACATTAACAACTCTTTATATATGTTGAACTCTCATGAAGTTTTCTGAAATTCTACAAAGTCTGTCGAAGTCCAAGGAAGTCTTATCGAACTGAAGAAGTTTTTGAGCTATAACTTTTAATACATATTCTAAAGTCTTTTGGAATCTTCTGAAGTGTGTTGTTTACCCTTGGCAAATATTTTCAAAAAGAATTTTTATTGATTTTATCCGATTTTTCTTAGCCTATGTACAACCATGTAATGAATATTTATGTCCAAGAAGTCAAAAATGTATTCCAAAAACCTGGGTATGTGATGGTTCAATCGATTGTGGTATTGGTGATGATTCTGATGAAGCAGCAGATTGTAGTATGCATTGCTATTAGTGTTTTGTTTTTATACACATCTATACGTTGTCAATTGATTTTTTTCTAGAACACGAACATTGTGATTTAAATAGTGGTCGTTATTTTCAATGTGCTGATAGTCAAGATTGTTTGCCAATTATTAGTAGATGCGATGCTCATAAAGATTGTTTAGATGGTTCAGATGAACGTGGCTGTGCATGCACATGTTCTGAACAATTTTCATGTGAAACTATTTGCCAATGTATTAATATGTCACGAGTTTGTGACGGTATACCAGATTGTATTGATCAAACTGATGAAAAAAATTGTACATGTACAACAAATGAATATACATGTCTTGGGGGTGGATGTGTTAATAGAACTCACTTGTGTGATGGAAGGGCTAATTGTCCGAAAGGTGATGATGAAACTCATCCAGATTGTACAAGTAAATATTATTCTTTCCAATAAAAATTCAAATTAATTTCATACTACTTATTTAGTAACATCAACAACACCAATCTCATCAACTATTCTTACAACACCTGGATCAACACTTGTACCAACTGTAGGAACACTTGTAACAACATCAGTAAGATTTATCATGTTTATTAAGTAGATTTATACCCGATTTTCTCTAGATTGAAACATCACCTGTTACAAGTACAACAACATATATGCCTGAAACAACAACTCCAACTTGTGCTGCTATTGTTGGTGCTCAATGGCTTTCTGAATACAATTTAATTACAATTGGAAATCTTGATACAAATTCTGATGTTGAATATCGAACATTAGTTTGTGGAGAGTATATGGGCACACAAACAGCTAATTTTGCTATTCATCGTAATCAAAATTTATTTGATTCAAGTCTTGAAATTCGATATAATATTGCTTCTGGTTCAATAATGAATATAAATGCTGGCAGTGTTACAAGTGCATTTGGTACCGTACAACAACTGTCACCTACTCAATATAAGTTGAATGGACGATTATTTGGTATTAACAGTGGTAATCAAGGTGCATCTGCATTTATTGATTCTACATTAGATGCAAAATGTTCGAAAGTAACTGATGATTTAAAACAGTTTTCTCAATATTTATCTCAATTAACATCAAATAATGATGTTAGCGTGCCCCAAAATGACGCTGGTCCATTAAATTTTGTAGTTCATAATGTCAATAAAGATGGATTGGCTATTTTTAATTTAGCTTGTAATGATGTATTCAATAATGCAAATGTTCAACAAATTCAAATTACAAATACTGTTAATGCTAAAACAATTGTAATAAATTTATCTGGTCGAACATGTTCATTTGAGCAAGGTAATATGGTAGGTGCTTGGTTAAATGGATTAGAAGGACGATCTCGAACAATATGGAATGTTTATGAACAACCTTTAAATCAAAATACTCGAATGTATATCAGACGCAATTTAATGGGAGCACTTCTTGCACCTTATTATTCAGTTGAAACATCAGTCAACATAGACGGTGCTGCTGCTGTTTACAATATGACAGCACGAGCTGAACTCCATAAACCGGGACTTGTGTTCCCAGCGTGTGTTGAATCAATACCTGCAGAACAACCAACTGAGCAACTGACTACGTCATCAGTTCCATCACCATCGACGCTAGTTACTACATTTACACAAACTTCAGTTCCAACAACATTCATACCAAGCACAACTGTTACAGTACGTAACACATTTTTCCTAAATTTCATACTAGAACTTAGCATATTTATGAAACTCCACATCAAATTCTCTGACAGAGGAAACTCAATGTGAATTCTTTTATGCGATTTCATTACACTGCCATTTGAGAAGAGATATTGTACATCTAGCACCAACACACAAATCGACCACAATTACAGCGCATCTATTACAAAAATCAAGAGAAACTGTAATAAGAGGCCGCTCATATTTTACTACAAAACTTTTCCTTCGTTCATAATTCTACAACCCCCGCTCTCACATAATTTGTTATTTGTCTGAGATCCTCACCCAGTCTCGATCATCGCATCAGCATAATCATTAAACACTCGATGAACTATTCATTACAGAACTTCTGTGCCTATCTCCATGAATCCCCAGTCAATCCACACTCAGGAATTGTCTCTACTGCTTCATTTGCCTCCATCTTTTTCGGACGCTCTGAATCTCACCCTTCATCAATAAAAACAATCCCAAAAAAACTAACATGACCCCTCCTTGACCATACGCAGCCATCTTTATCCGATTCTTGTACAATATAACCTAAGCTGTACAACAGACACATATAACAGTTGTCGTCCTGAATCTACACCCAACAAATACACCCCGTAGCTATAAATCTTCCTCTATATAGTTTCGAGAGAAAAATACATGCCCAACCTCCAGAATACTACCATCCACTACTCGTGCTATTCTTACAGATACAACTCTCCAGATAATTAAATAATGACAATAGCAGTGCCATCGCGGAACGCAGCCCACCAAACATCATATACACCGATGCTCCACACCCTATAATATATAACACGCCCGACAAACACTATATTCATCACATAAAGCATACCTAAGCCATATCCATCCATCCATTCCTCACAGAATTCATTGACTCCAACCACATCCCAACCAGAAGCCACGCTGGCGAAACTCTAGCATTCACCCCATCGAACATGCCCAAAGCAAGCAACCATAAACCAAACCTACCACTACTAAACCATCATCGAGACATTCGCATCAACCAAAATATAAAACGAACCAAAACTAATCAATAAACAACAATATTTCCCTTCGCTCAATAACATCCTCACTGATCCCATAAAGACGTAAAGCATCAAAAACAAAACTAAGCCACCTAACCGCCCATGCCTCCCAAAACCAATGAATTAGCTCAGAATATAAAACAAATTCCTATATTTAGGCAAGCATAGCAACCACTCAACACAAACTGCCGTCAACAACCACTGTATTGCCACCAACAACAACTACAATGAATTATTGTACAGAAGAAAAAGGTATGAATCAAGTATTGGATATTCAACCAAATCAAGTGAAATCATATCCATTACCTGAACAACCAACATCTGGTGATATCAATCCAACGTCAACAACACCGGGCTTTAATTATCCAACAATAAATCCACAAATC